ACCTTCACAGAAGCATACGAGAAGTGCGGCCTCTCATTAAACATTGACAGATAGCAAGCTATTTAATTCAGCGGACTGAAACCCAAAACCAAGGTCAGAACAACATCTGTTATAGAACTCCAATATGCTGATGACAATGTCATCTGTGCGCATTCAGAAGAAGACCTACAAGCCACTCTAAACACCTTCGCAGAAGCATACGAGAAGCTTGGCCTCTCATTAAACATTGACAGAGGGCAAGCTATTTAGTTCAGCGGACTGAAAGCCAAAACCAAGGTCAGAACAACATCTGTTATAGAACTCAAATATGCTGATGACAGTGTCATCTGTGCACATTCAGAAGAAGACTTACAAGCCACTCTAAATACCTTCACAGAAGCATACGAGAAGTGCGGCCTCTCATTAAACATTGACAGATAGCAAGCTATTTAATTCAGCAGACTGAAAGCCAAAACCAAGGTCAGAACAACATCTGTTATAGAGCTCCAATATGCTGATGATAATGTTGTCTGTGCACATTCAGAAGAAAACCTACAAGCCACTCTAAACACTTTCACAGAAGCATATGAGAAGCTCGGCCTGTCATTGAACATTGAGAAAACCAAAGTGCTCTTCCAGCAGTCACCGGCCAATCCCTCTCCAATGCCAGAAATACAGCTTCATGGTGTAACATTAAAAAATATGGACCATTTCCGCTCCCTTGGCAGCCACCTCTCCACAAAAGTCAAGATTGACACTGAAATACAACACCGCCTGAGCTCTGCGAGTGCAACATTCTTCTGAATGAAGCAGAGAGTGTTTGAGGACCGGGACATCCGTAGGGATACCAAGGTGCTTGTTTATAAAGCTATTGTCCTCCCAACCCTGCCATACACCTGTGAAACGTGGACTGTCTACAGACGTCAACATTGACACTGAAATACAACACCGTCTAAACTCTGTGAGTGCAGCATTCTTCCAAATGAAGCACAGAGTGTTTGAGGACTGGGACATCCGTAGGGATACCAAGGTGCTTGTTTATAAAGCTATTGTCCTCCCAACCCTGCCATACACCTGTGAAACATGGACCGTCTACAGACGTTAAGATTGACACTGAAATACAACACCGCCTGAGCTCTGCGAGTGCAGCATTTTTCCGAATGAAGCAGAGAGTGTTTGAGGAGCAGGACATCCATAGGGAGACCAAGATGCTTATTTACAAAGCTATTGTCCTCCCAACCGTACTATACGCCTGCGAAACATGGACTGTCTACAGACGTCAACATTGACACTGAAATACAACACCGCCTGAGCTCTGCAAGTGCAGCATTCTTCCGAATGAAGCAGAGAGTGTTTGAAGATAGGGATATCTGTAGGGAGACCAAGGAGCTTGTTTATAACGATGTTGTCCTCCCAACCCTGCCATACACCTGTGAAACGTGGACTGTCTACAGCTGTCAACACTGACACAGAAATACAACACCGT